ATCTGATTTTTAGGGTAGGAGGGAGGGTCAGAAAAATATCAGGTTCTAAAATAATAATAGCATTTGATTGGTTAAAAATATAAAAAATTTTAACATTTAATACTAGATAACTTTTGACCTAACGGTCCGTTTTGGATGATTTTACTACCAAAATGCCCATCTCTCTGAGACGATTCTAACAAGCCCAAAATCATCAAAATCCAATCACAGGATCCAGAGATCAGAATAGATTTGTATTACTTTATATATATATTTATATATAGTACTATATATAGTACTATATATTTCAAAAAAAAGTTTAACAACTCTTTCTGATGATCACTTAAACCAAAATTTCCCACAGAAGAAAAATACAAATTTTTGCTGGAGAGTCGTGGCCTACATAGTGGTTTGTCTAGAGGTTAACTACTTTTTTAAAGAACTCCTCTATAAGTGATATTTGGCATGCAAGCCAAGAGTGTTATTATACAAGATAACTAGCAAGAGATACCTTTGTATAAAAAATCTTGGTAGAGAAGAGGACTCTGCAGACTAACCTTCTTTCTCTGTTGATAAAGCTATTAAACTGTACTTCTTTGAAAACACTGGAAAACAACAAAATAACATATTATTTCTTCAAGCTACACTCTTTTTACTTGGTCAAGTGGCTCCTTTTTACTTTTTATTGCTTTTCTGTCGGTCTTCCAAAAATTTTTAAAAAAATGTGGGGATTTGGCTTATTCCCTCCAAAAGATTGGCTTTGTTTATATCAACCAAATTCAGATAGACTCAGTGGAATGCAATTACATGTTTGTTGTATTGACTAATACAGTGCTATGGTACGGGAAAGAGATTGACACTCCCATTTAGAAGATTCCCAAGTCAAGTCAGTATACAGAACGAGTTAACCTGATAGAGTCGAAGGCTTTATAATTGAGATATACTTTTAGTTACAATTAGTATATAATTTTTATTCTTATATCTGGCATGGGCTATAATAGTATGTTATGACTATTTTCTTTTTTTTTCGCTTTTTTTATCTTTGTTCATTTATGTTAGATTATTTTAGAATATGTTGAAAAGTTTTTTTCCACCATGAGATGTTTTTTTTTCTAAAATATTTATGTCTTTCATAAACATAGCTTTACATTTTTACTTTTATATACAAATAAAGGTTTATTTGTGTTGTTGGGCTTAGATAGAAGAAGTCTGAAAGAAGAAGAGGTAGTTATGATAGGTGACAAGGTCTACTGTTGAGAGCCAGGTCATATTAAATTGCAGGAGAGGTCTGAAAGGAGGGAAATCTTGCTATAGCAGGTCGAACATAGGTACCAAGTTGATAACCGGGTTAGTTGTAACTTGTAATTTAGGTAGCACTAGGTAGATATAGGTAAGGCACTTGTCATTTAAAGATAGTTCTTATATGCTATCTGCTGACTTGTTTAGAGTTTATTACTTACCTGTTATAAATCCTATACATAAATCCTAGTTGCAAAATTTTACATATTCTAGATAAGTTGTACAAAGCCTAATAAAGTTATGGCATGACTGCTGAATGATTTAAAATAAAAACTAAACCTTAACTACATACCATGTACACCAAAATAAAAAGTTCATTTAGGGTAGTGTATATCTATAGAGGGAATTTTGGGTGCATTTATGGAGTGTGCAATTATAGAGGTCTAACTATATAGGTTCTGTACCAATTTTTTATAGAAAAATTATAATAATTCTAATACAATTCAACTCAACCTCATACTGCATGTCACCTTTTCAGTAATATATAATCACGATAATTTTATTGCCAACCTTAACCACATATTATGTGTCACCATAATAGAGAGTTAAGTTTCGTAATATTTTTTTTATATTAACTTATAACAGAAATCACAATAATTCTAATGCAAATTAACTTAACTATATACTGTGTGTCACTAAAATAGCGAGTAAGCTTTGTTACAAAACTTTATATAAAAAAATCACAATAATTCCAATACAAACTAACTCACCTTAATCACATATTGTGTGTCACCGAAATAGTAAGTTCTGTAACAATTTTTTGTGATAACTCATAATAGAATACATAATAATTTAAATGAAACTAATCCAACTACATACTATGTGTTATTAGAATAACAAATTTTAGACCAGAATTTTTGACATTAATTCATATTAGAAATCATGATAATTCTAATACAAGCTAAATTAATTTTAACTACTTACTGTGTATCACTGGAATGGCAAGTGAAGTTTGTAATAATTTTTTACAGTTACCAATAATTCCAATGCAAACTAACTCATACTATGTATTACTGGAAAGTAAGTTTGACCTCCCACAAGATGCAAATAACCTCATATGCGATGAAATTTTGAATTCAGCAAATTATAAGTTCTATAACTGAAATTTTTTTGATAATAACTTAAAATAGAAATCATGATAATTTAAATACAAACTAACTCAACCTTAACCATATACTACAGTATGTGTTACTAGAATTAGTGTTGTGGTGACAACTAACACCCCTTGTGTTGATAGTGCTGAGGTTAGGTACAATCACAGGTTACTCGATTAGGACTAGATAACATCCATGGCATGATCAGTGATGCATGAATTTAATGTAAAGTCTATTTGTAAGTATTGTATAATTTGTGTAACTAGGTAATTAAGTACCTGAATTGATAATCTAACAAAAAGAGTATTGATTCCTTTGGAATCAATAAGTATTAGTTTGCTTATTAGCTTAGTGAAATACACATCTTAGTATACACAATAGTATAGGTGGCAGTGCCTGGCACAATACACCAGTGTGCAAAGCGAGTGCTCTGACTAAGTGAATCGAGCCCGAAACCCCTATAAGTGCAAATGTATATGACAATTAGCAAATATAATTTTTTATAGTAAATCAGATAGAAATCATAATAATTCTAATACAAACTAAGTCAACCACATACTGTGTATTACGAAGTGCAAGTTCCATAAGAGAATTTTTTAAAGTAATTCATATTGAAAATTTAGGTTAATTCTAATACAATCCAACTCATCCTTAGACAGTTACTATGCATCATCATAATAAAGAGTAAGTTCTATACTAATTTTTTTACAATAACCCACACTAAAAAACATAATAATATTAATACAAATTATCTAAATGTTGTGTATTACCAGAATATTAACAGAGTTTTTATAGTAACTCTCAATAGAAATTCAATAATTCTGATACAAACTAACTCAATTTCAACTACATGCTGTATATTACCAGAATAGCGATTAAGTACTGTAACATTATTTTATAGTTAACTCACACTAATACTGTACTAACTAATTTAACTACTATGTCATTGAATAGCATGTAAGTTATATAACAGAATTTTTCACAATAACTTACAATAGAAATCATGTTATAGTGTAAGTTCTATAACAATTGACGCATGATAAAAACATGATATTTATGTGAAATTATGATAATTTAATTATATGATTGCTGCCAAAGGAAAACCTGCATCGGGCTTTCAATTATATTTTATACCGGACAAAATCTATTTAATTTCTTAGGGAATATGTCAGTACAAAATATAATTGAAAGCCCGATGGGTTTCCCTTGGCGGCACTCATATGTCACCAGGATAAGGTGGCGCTACGCGCCACCTGTTATGCAAGTATAAATTGAAGATGTGATTATCCATTCTTGCAATTAACAAAGCTCCAAATTACCGTCAATCCTGATAATCTTTCATCACAAAATCTGTAAATTTTGACATTTTTTACGAATAAGCTAAATATAATGGATCCTTATTATTTCACCAGCAAACACTTTAAAGACACCACATTAATCGATACTCATGCACTGACAAGCTTATTTTTACAGATGATTTATTTACAGACAAATAATTTTATAAACAGCATATTTCATCAATTAACTCATATTATACTTAATCCTGACTAGAATTACTTTGCAAAATGAGCTGTTAACAAAATATATTGTTTACGAACTGAACTTATCCATAAACTTATCATTGGTATAATAGGCTTGTTAGTGAAAAGAGCATTGGTGAAATGTAGTGTATTTGAAGCAATCGTAGGTGTATTTATCGAAACCGGATGAAAAACTACCGTATAAATGGATGGGATCTATTACACCCCACAAATTTTAAAACCTATAGTAGACCCGAGGTCTAGTACATGACTGAGAGTTTGTATCATTGAAAGTAAAAATTTGAAATACATACACACGTCGCATTTGCATTTCAATCAAGAAGATCCTGAGTTCTGCGCATGGATCTAATACCCGGTGGGTCATTATTCAGAAAGATCTTTCATACGACTGTTTATAAACGAACCAATTTTATGTGAATAACGAAAGATGAAACCATGTTCAAAAAAACAATTTAAAATTAATATCGTTAATTTTATTACTCATTACATCATAATTAAACAATGAGTGACGCCAGATTTGCTATGAAATAATAATATCCATATATAGTATGTGAAAACCTTAACTCAGGATTCTTTAAAAATCAGCATAAGCGACATCCCTACGCATTTAATGTTACACAAGAAACGTAATTGTTCAATTTTCTTTTGCTTAATATGCTGTTGGACCTTCAATAGAAAATTAATGGACTAACGATTTACTTGAACAAAGCCTATAGCATTAAAAATCCAAATGAGGTTATGGATTATGCTTTTAGACCTGCAGATTATCAGTTATACAATGCTGAACGGAGTGCTAGGGATCCGAGTCATTCATGGATGCAGGCTGCAAAATATTTCAAAAAGTAAAGTGAAATTACACTTGAAATCTAGAATCTATTATTAACAGTTTAATGTAAAATGCTTATACCATAAATTATGGTATTATTTAGAATTTAATTTGCTATTCTATTATTTAATATTCTATTTGCTATTCTTCATTTTGTTTTTATTTTTATTTTTCATTTTAAATTATGACATTATTTAGAATTTCTTTATTTTTATTTTTAGAATAACTAGATCATTCAGAAATTATTATAACGAATCATGTTTAATTGGCAGAACACAGATTGTGCCAATACTTTATATCTGGATCAGCCTCTAACGCCCATGGTGCCATTGTTGGTTTTTCCAACAATTTAATTTCTTCTGGAAGTTCGACAAATTGGGCCAACATGCCAACTTCAAGGTGCCACTTAAAGTTACGAAAAAAATGGTTAAACTTTTTGAAAGAGACTCATCAAAAATATCACAGAGTACATTCTTACCTCGACATGGCAATGGAAAGCCCAAACTCCAGGGTTACCCGTCAAAAATCGAATTACTAAAGAACTTTTAAGAAATTAGAATAAATTAGAATAAATTAATAATGTGCTGTGTGAAATAAATAAATAAAGCATTTGTAAACTAACCCGTTTGCTGGAATAGTTGTGGTGTCACGCAAAATCGGATATGGGTAAGATATGGCAAATCGTCCATCTAGGGCGCTAATAACCCAAAAAGAATGTCCATGCTAAATGTAAATAAAGTAAGTAAATATATAATTATTGGTGATATTATACTGGCTCTTATAACATAATTAGAGTTTAAAATTCAAACAAACCATAAATTTGGCTATATAAAAAAGCTTATATGCGCATGTGCATTTTGTAATTTCAATTTTAACCCTGAAACCTAAATGTCGCATGGTTATACTAGAAAGTATCAGATATTTAATTTAATTACCAAATGGAAAGGATGGCTGATAATGTCATAATCTAAAAAAAAAGAAAATTAAAATGTCTGAAGCAATAATAATATTTTTTAAAATATGCGAATACATACTATTTAAGATAAGTTCAATCATTTGGCCTCTCTTATCCAATGTAATAATATTCTGAGTGGATGGCCAAGAAGATACACCAGCGTGTACACTTTCCAATGTATTATGGAAATTATCGTAGGCAATATACTTTTTGGGGTTATTCTCTTCATACACCTCCCCGACTGTGGCTATTTTGTAAACTCCTGAACCAATGTAATCAGGATCTTCGAGCATTAAAATGCTCAAATTAAAAGTTTTATCTACTCTTGATGGTGGTAAATATGACGACAGATTTTTTGGTGCCAAATAAGATAGATTTAAACCGCCACATCTGGCCAGCTTAGTGTTAATCCATCTATCCGGAATTGTATCCGGTTTTCCTTCAGAAGAATCATACTTAATTGTCGCTAGAATATTTTTAACCATTCTTCGCCTTTGACAACAAGGTGTATTCCTCCTAAGGCAATCACCTCTTATATCTATGCGCATCCAAAATTTGGTTATGTTCTGTGCTGGTGGTAATCGGGTGGCGATCACCGAATATCTCTGTGCAACATGAATTTGTAAATGATGGACTGGTCTTGCTCTATCGGTGTGCACGACGTGTTGCCCATCAGCCTCAATGATTTGTAACGTATGATTATCAATAGAGAAATGGTATTCTATTTCCACACTAGATAGATATAAGGTATATATTATTTTAATTTATAGCAATATAAGATATAATCGAATATGACATTTTTTATTATTACCCGGTGTTAATTAAACGAAATCGATGTTTATCTCCTTTAGATATGTCGTACACTAGTTCAGTTTCGGCTGAAGTATAACAAATTTTTTCACATTGTTCAGAACAATCGTCTACTAAGGGTCCAGTACAATTATCTTCACATTGTTCAGTACGATTACAATTTTTTAAACAATTTCCTACGCCTTGACCATTAATAAGAATAGAGTACGGAACGGGCTATAAAAAAAAAAAATGTATAATATTTTGTGAGCCGATCTTTTGAAACGAGATTTTATTATCGTACCTCGTATTTTATTTCATTACAAGGTGGATTGCCGGTCGCATATCGGTAATTATCTACTCTGGTACAAGGTGAATCGCTGGTCTTATACTGGTAATTGTCTAACATAATTTTCTCGTTTTCGTGATACAAATCTGATATAAGTACAATGTGTTCCACATAGTCTTTATAAGTAATATCAGTCTCATTAATAATTAACAAGCTATAAAAGCCGGCCATACGCTGAGTTTTATAATGTGAATGACTAGATTTTATATTATATTTAGGCTTAAATCATAATAATTATTGTCGCGGCTGATGCTGAAATTGGCCGATGCTGAAATTTAGGGTCCCAATTTAAATCTATAATACCTACTAAAATTCACATATACTTTTTTACTAACAACTCTACCCTCAAACCCTAACCTAACACTAAAAAAAACCCCCTAACGAAAAGGCCCGAAAATTTTTTAAAATTTCATAATAAAATAATTCAAAATTTAAGCATCAGCCGTGACAATTATTTAAATCATCTACTTACTACCAATGAGTGCCAGATTCATCATTCGCATAAAAATCGTACAGAAATGATTTACCAGGTTGAATTGGACATTGAGTTATAGCTGGAACACCATCTGAAAACGGCGTATTCATCATATGAAGTCCGTGCCAATGGATTGTAGTCGCTTCATTAAGTTCATTTCTTACTAAAACTTGAATCCGCTGCCCTGGTCTCACATAAATAGTTGGCCCAGGAAATTCTGAGCAATTAGGCATCTTTTTATTAGTATCATAAACAACTACAATTGGCCGTTCACCGCAACCATCAAGTTCACAATTATGAACTTTGATAGTCCAATCAATCTTACAAATATCTTTTTCATATGAACAGTCATGTATCACAGAAACTGATATGACCGAAATTGTCAAAATATAGACTACAAATAATATAGACACATTAAAAACTAATTGTTTCATTGATTTTTAAAGATGCTTAAATTCTATTGATATTCATTGTCTTATATAAGATATCCACTTACCTTAACGAGATGGCTTTGCGTTAAATATTTACACGTTTAAATAATCAGTTGTTTTTTTTTTTATCTAATCAATCAAAAATAACTTTAGAGACTATTATGATAATAGAAATTTTATCATAATTCAATTTTCTCCTTTCGGAAATTACTGAATCTGTTAGAGCCATAGCTGTTAGGCGAACGTTTTTTGCATGATAACGAAAACGAGCCATAAATCTGGAAAAACGAAACTTAAAATCAAGATTTAAGCGACAAAACCTAAAATCAAATCGACGAATCTGATTTCAAAATGATAAAAACCTAGTAACACCTAAAAAAATATATAAAAAATAAAAATAAATAAAAAGTAAATACTGCATAGCCTGCAAAATTTCAGTTTAGCAAAGAAAAAACAAATACGTATAAACAAAGCTAAGCTTTTAACAAAAATTTAAACGAAAATATGTAATGTCGAATATATGTCTTATCGAAGACAATAGATATACAACTTTTACTGTACATGTTTCTTTTTGATCTCATGTAAATAAAAATTTATTCTTAAAAAAAATTATCCCTTGATGATCTTGTAAGCTTTTAAATAGAAAAAAAAGCTCGTCTCTTTTAAAAAATTTCCAAATTATTATCATTCGGATTAAAATTAAATTTCTTAAATAAATTTATTTATAAATTAATTGCTTTTCGCAAACAGCTTTGCTTCACGACTTCTAAATTTTATAATATGATCTTGGCATAAAGTTCGAATTGATGGAACCTATTTGAAAAACTCTAATAATACAAACTTTAGATTCCTGTATAGTATCTTTTCTTCGACCACCTACTACGAATTATAACAATATCATACATGAATTTTTTTTAATTTTTATTTTGGCCAGTGTGTTCGGGTGTTTAGTACTTGTTGCTAGTTATAAAAATTTTCAATTAAACAATGATCCAATTATTTCTAGTTTGTTTAATTAAATAAAGCTCTTCGCCCTACTAAATACGTATAAGGAATTTTATGAAAATATGTGTAACTCAATATTTAAACAATATTATAAGGTTTGAATTCTTTTGTTATTATTACATTACATAATTACTATTGCATAGTTATTATTGAAAGAGATTTTTTATGAAAAATTAATTTATTTTATAAATTCAAAAGTTCAGATTATTATTATTTTGATCATTATTTATATATTAATGCAAAGTCACATAATCATTAATGAATTTATTAATTACATAACTGTTGGTAAAAACAGAAAACAGAGTTTGTTTATATTGCTTCAATGACTTGAAAAAGTTTCACTAATGGGCTGATGTGCTATTAATAAGTTGTTTTAAAGTACTGATAATTATTTTTTCTTCTAAACCATTAACAGGACTGTTATCCTGAAATTTCTTGTAAAATTTAGTATATTGAAATGGTGTGCCTTCTATACATGTGTACCTAAATTATTTTTGGCTTGCCATAAATAAAAATTGCCGAAAATATTTTAGGCGCCTAAACCGTAGATAATATCGGCTGCCTAAAATAATTTCGGCTGCCTAAAATAATTTCGGCTGCCTAAAATGGTTTACAACTGTTTTCATAAATTCTGGGACACTCTAAAAAAATTTGCCAAAGTTTATTCGGCCGAATTCTTTAAGTTATTGATTT